TGGGTTTCAGCTCCACAGAAAGCTTAAGTTGATTGTATTCCCCCCCCCAAAAAAAAATTATAAATACAGGTGCTCATAGCTTGTCTGGGAACTTGGATTGGGGGAGGGTTCCCACCACTCATTCCAGCTCATTCCACAGCTGCTCCAGCCCCACCTGCAGCCGGTCCAGGTTAAGAGGCAGGTGCTGGGTCAGTACCTGCCTGGCCTGGCTCTGGCCCCACAAGGTGGTGACAGCCCGACCACTTGCCTGCACGGCTTCCAGCCCTGCCTGGGACAGCCGAAGGAGGAGGCCTGCCACACCATCCAGGGTGCCTGCCGGCTGTACCAGGCGCTGGAACCTTCTTTTCCAGACAGGCTTGCACCTGGGAGCCAACTGCTGCAATCCTGGACTGTTAGGACAGAGAAGAGGCCTGGACTCCCTCGGGGCCGCATAGGAATGAAATACACAAAAGGTCTCGGTGCCAGCGGCAGGTGCAGGCCTCACCCTGGGGCCTTGTGCTCTGGTTCCTGGGCACAGATGGACCCAAAGGGCTCGGGGTTCCTGGCACTGTGGCCTTTTCCTCATGGGACACAGAAGCCTGGAGACAGCTTGGGGCCCTAGACAGGGACAGCCTCACTTTCTCCTCCCTGTTGTGCACATTTCCCTCCAACTGGACCAGGCTTTGAGAAGCTGAGGTGGAGACACATCCCACTAGGCCAACCTGCTGAGCCTCGAAGCCGTGAAGCTGGGAGCAGGAGGGCAAAGTCCTGAGTGGAGCCTGTCCCTGGTCTCTGTCTCCTGCCAGCCCCAGGCTCAGGAAGGGGCTAGCTGAGGAGGCTGCTGTCAGACCCTGGGCAGGTCACAGAGCCCCAGGTGGATGGAGTGCCACAGCCAGTGTGCGTAGTTGGTCTGTACTTCTCCCCAGAAGCTCTGCTGGGCACAAGAGGCCCCGAGGACGTGCTCCAGCATGGCCTCCACGATGATCTTGTCTGGCTGAGATGGCCGATGCCTCTTGTATGTCAAGTTGTGCCGCATATGCTGCTGGCCCCAGGACAGGTTGAGCTGTTCAACGAAGAAGTCTATGGTCTGTGCTAGGGCCCCGCAGGCCCGGAGAGGGTACAGGCCCAAAGTTTCCTGCCCCTGGGAGGCAGCCAGGCAGCCATCCCAGGTGGTGCTGTGTGCTGAGAACCTGTCAGCCCAGGCGAGCTTCAGAGTCACAGGCTGTCCTCTGTTTCAGGTGAGCTGTCTTTCTGGTGCTTAAGTACTCTTTTAAAATACTGACGAGGGAAACATTTGTATAAAATGTATTTTCATCCTCTATATATTCAAAAATCTCAGCAGCACCAGCAGCACGGAGGAAAAGGCAGTAAAGACCGTGCTCTGGGGCTGCGAGCTCAGTCAGGAGAGGCGGACTTGGACCTTCAGACCCCAGCCGGAGGGGAAGCAGGGCTGCAGGCTGTTGCTTCATATGATTTGCTTAGGGGAGAAAACCAAAGAGGAGATGCATCGCATGGAGATCCTGCCTCCAGAAAACCGGGAGGACAAGAAGACGCAGCCGGTCACCATTGCCTCGCTCCAGGCCTCAGTCCTCCCCATGGTCACCATGGTTGGAGTACAGCTTTCTCCCCCAGCTACTTTCCAACTCCGGGCTGGCTCAGGACCTGTGTTCCTCAGTGGCCAGGAGCATTATGGAACCTGGGAGGAGGAGGAGGAGGAAGAAGGGGAAGAGGAAGAAGAGGAAGAGGAGGAGGAAGATGATGAGGGTGAGGATGTAGATAT